CTCTCTCTCTCTCTCTCTCTCTCTCTCTCTCTCTCTCTCTCTCTCTCTTATCTATTTGTGTGTTAGATTTGCATTCAAAACTAAGATGCTAAGCTCTTTATCTCTCTACCACCGCAAATGTTCTAGGATGCAACAATAATATTTACAATAGCTTTTAAAATAAGTTACTTTTTATGTTATTACTTTACAACCACCTTTATAAAAAGTTGCAAATGCTACAAAAAAAATCCTGAATGAATGTGTTATTGTTCATTAATTTCAAAAACAAAAAACAAAAAATTCCACAAAAATTTCATTTTTTGAAAAAGTCTATGAATGCTCCATATAACTGCAAATATTATTTTAACTTATCTTCTAGTAACAATCTTATAAAAATCCAAAGCACTCCAATACAAATTATTTTGTTTTTAGTCTTTGGATTTCTATTTCAATTATATCTCATTTTCCATATAGTACACATAGACCATAAGCTAATCATAATATATGTAATGAAAGCTCAGTTAAAAATATATAAAATTTCTAAGCTAATTAACTATTTCATGTCAATTTAATTTGAAGCTTTCATTTGATGGAATCTATGGTGGAGAAACATTAAAATATAAATATAACCCTTTAAAATAGACATAATTAGCTAATCAAGATTAAAATTAATTAAGTTGTTAAAAAAGACTCATTAATTATTGTAATTGGTAAAAAGATTTTATTTATCCTAATTTTTCCCTTAATATATATGATCTTCCCTAATGATGAGATAGGCATTTGTATGTGGGAAAAAAATTATGTAAGAATATTCTTATATTTTTTTATTTGGATGAGAAGAGAATCTATAAAATTAAAAAATAAATATTAAAAAAATATAAAAATATAAAAACTAATTAATTATATAATATGAACAATTTGAAAGATAAAGCTTGTGGCCAATTGGAAGAGAATCTATCCTCTCATTCAAAAGAAAGTTAATTATAAAGTATTTTCTAAGCTAAGGAGATCAATTAAATATTTAGAATATTGATAGTTAAGCAATCTATTTGTTTTACTTAATAATGCATAATGTTAAAGAACAAAAATCTAAGTTGTTAGGCATATTATTCTTGTTGATGTTCATATCAATCGTCAAAAATTAACTTTGAACCTTTAGCCCATAAGATGATTATGATAGTCCAATCATTTTCGGTAAGGGAAAATTTTCAACAACAATTTGTGGTAGTTTTATTCATCAGGAAAAATTTATCATACACAGATAAAATTTGTAAGTGATATCGAAATTTTAAAATTGAAAAATTCAAGAAGGAAAACATTATTGGGCTTGTTGGATTCGTCTCGTCAAGTCACTGGATTTGGCTATAATCAAGTAAGATTTAGAGATTGTTTAATCCTTCAATTAGTACCTTAAACTTTTTATTATATTTAAAGTGCTTAATTTGATCTCATTTAGGCTTCGTCTGGGACGAGTTTCTTATTGTACTAAAAGCTGCTTTAAGAAGCAGTAATAAAACTAACCCAAACAAAGCCTTAGAGTCAAATAGAATCACTTATGATATCAATGAATTCATCTCATCCAAATGCTCAGATCGGTTATAAGTTTGATGAAGTCAAAATTTAGATGATCCTAATTTTTATTCTAAAA